GGTTGGCCCCATACTTTGGTAGTACGGTAATGCCGAAAAGCTGACATTGCTGACATGACGGCGGGCTGTACTTGGAGCGTACATGTGTACTTTTCGGTCCGTCCGGGTGTACTTTTGGAAAGTTCTGAAATGTACCGACCTTCCAAAAGGTCCTAGTATCGATTCCCACCATCGACCATCAAATTTCCTTTTTTTCGGCATTACTTTGCAATTGTTTAAAAAAGTGCCAGGATTGGCCCCACCTGATCCTGCGAACGCCCCCTTGCTTGGATACAAAGCCGTCGATAAGAGCGAAAGCGTTCCACATCGACGGCCAGAACAGGGCTTGCGCTGCCACGTCGACTATCTTCCATTCATACAGCGGAATCTGAATGATAGCACTGGGCAAAGTAAGGGCTTCGGAGAATTACCGGCGGCGTAGTATATAATCCCCGAGGATTTTGAAGCAGGGTGTTGGGGGACTCGCTGTGCCATGAGGGTGCTCGGAGTGTTCCGCTCGGCCGTTTGAAGCCCTCCGTACGCCGCCGCAAGCGGCGGCGAGTTGGGGGGCAAGCCCCCCAACTCAGCCCCTTCGGGGCTGAAAACCCCCCCAACACACCGAATATTTTTTAAAGAGAGAGAAGCGTGTATCTCATCGGTCAGATGGCCGAAGCGGTCTAAGGCGCCAGCTTCAGGAGACATTGTCTCAGAACATTTGCTGGTCTTCGAGAGAGGGCTTACGTTTGAAATGTTCTCCGCCGTCGATTAGAGTCGGATGCCTGTAATTTTGCGATCGTGTCCATCCGTTAGCGATTTGCCGATCGGACGGCGCCGGCGACAGGGACGGCTCTTACTGATGGTTTTTTTGGCATTAATTTATGTATTTTATTTGGAACCTTACATCTCATCGGTCAGATGGCCGAGCGGTCTAAGGCGCCAGCTTCAGGAGACATTGTCTCAGAGTTTGCTGGTCCTCTTCGGGGGGCGTGGGTTCAAATCCCACTCTGGCCATCATCTGGATTTCTTTTTGGAGCAGCTCAGTCTCAATTTGCACTTGCGCATGAATTCCCCGCCCTTTTTCTTGCAATTTAAATCGGGGGGGCTGCCGCCTCCCCGCTCCCTCCTCTGGAGGTCTTAGCGTCGTTGCACGAAAGTGGACCATAATTAAGTCAAAAGGGGCTTCAGCCTTCAGGCTAATAGTAATGTCATCATTTTTGGGCGGCTCCGACGCAACAAGGGCGACAAATATAAGCATGAACAAGAAGCTGCCAGTCGCTTGATCACCTCGTCATTTGTTGCTTTGTATGTTTTGTAACGTACGTTTCCAACAGCGGTATCGCTCTCTGCATTCATTCCAAGCAGCAATGATCATGGTGAATCCATGATTTCATCGTCTCAACATGCAAGTGGTTCTCACAGTTCAATGTCTCGAAAGTAAATGAGTTGTTCCTTACGGATAAATGACTCCGGGCTTATGTACATAAAGTGGTAATCGGTTAAACGGCCAACAAGCGCGTCCCAGCCGGGCGGATGAAATATAAGGCAAAATAGAGCGATTGCTCATAAGCTAGGCTAGCACGGTACCCAATTATGGCCGAAGTATAGTGAGTGAGGGGCATCTATTCTAGCGGCCCGGCCCCGGCCACGGCCCACCGTTCAATCGTAGACATGCAAACAGCATAGACTCGCCGAGTACAGATCCTAACCAATAATAGAGTTGTTCCGAAGCGAGACTTGAATGTTGGTATCTTATATAACTGTGCAGTATGCGCACCAGATAGCTACAGCCGTCGGATTTGACATGGCCGCCTGGACCGCGCCATGAAAATCCCAGCAGAAGTGAGAAGCCCATGTTGTATATGATCTTTGGACGGTGATCATGGCTTGCTTGGTACATGTGCTAGGCCGGTGCACTAGGAGCAATCCGACAACGTTGAGAAAGAGAGGCTCTTGCCCTTCTACCCATTAACAATGCCGACCAAGCTTTCGCAACAAGCAGTCCCACAGAAGGGTAATGATGTTTTTGTCCCCTATGTTGCACCCTATGTTGCCAACCTGACAAGCCGTTCCTGTCATTGTAGAGTGGCGAAACGTCTTCAACATTCTTGAAACCCGCTTCAATTAGCATGCAAGCCAGGTTCCTTCCATAAAACTCGTCGCTCCAAAGCTCAGTAGACTTCATCAATGTGTACACAGGAGCAGGCAATCTCTGCAAATCGAAAGACGTCGTGTCATGTTTACGATCCTGCAAGAGATTATTTTACTAGGGTCATGCAATTCACATGACCATCGTCATGCCCATCAAACACTTTCTTTGACTAACATGTAATCTTTATGGGAACGAGTCATATCGAACTCACCATCTAGGTGCATACAACTCACTAGCTGTATGCCCCCGTTTTCAAGGCATCGTAGGCCGTTGCAGCCTCCTTGAACCTCTCCTCAGCATCCGCCTTAGATCTCTCCAAGTGGCGATCTGGGTGCCACTTGAGCGCCTGCTTTCTGAACGCCTCCTTGACGACCGCCACTGTCAACGGCCCACTCTGGGGCAGACCGAGACACGTCCGATGGGGACATTCTCTCTCCTGTTCAGCGGTTTCGTAATCGGTTGTACCTCGTGATCGAGAACGCGCCTTGCGTGACCGCTGTTCTCGACCTGCAAAGAGGAAGTTTGTCAGCAAGCCCCCTGGCGGAGCTGCGATGAGCTTACAAGTTCGCACGTAGAACCTCTTCTGTGCTTGAGGGCTTTGAAATAGCTTAAGTGTGACATATTCGAACCAGAGCGGAAAGTTCATATTGCCACAATGAATTACGCACTCCCTAAAAGAGATTGCTTCAGCTACTCTAGCCTGTGACCATGCAGTAAACAGCACCACAAAAACAATGAGAGGCTGAATGAATCATTGAAGGAATCTGTGGCGGCCGTAATGCCCCACCTATGTCCTCCTCCTCCTCCTCTCCAAAGTGCTGTCCCCCGAACACCTTCTCCCAAAAGTCGTCAAGGTCCATGTCAACCCAGGTCTTGGCATATGTGCGAGAGCTGCCGGGCTCCCACTGTTCCCACGCCGCAGACCACTGGGCATCCCGATCACGCCGCGATTGGCGGGCGCGCCTCCTTTGAGAAGCATTAAACACCTCGGAGGTGAAGAACGCTTGGCCGCCACTGAAGATGTAGGTGAAACCCTGGGTTGGGACGAAGACACTTCAGTCGGATCCTGCCCACTATCGAAAACGTGCAAGGTTTGAAATGCGTTAACATTTAGGCAATGTCTGCAAATGCTGAGCAGATGGCAAGACGAAATTCGAGCACTTTCCAACCTTGTTAGGAGTATAAAGCTAGTGCCAAAGCTTGGCCACTTACTTGGTCTGTGGAGGTCTGGCCGTTGCACCAGTCCCGCCACTCATTAAGTTTGGCCTTGGCCTCCATCCTCTTCTGCTTCTTGTGAGAACCCTTGTTGTTCACCTGCGCAAAAACAGAGCCGTGGGCAGATGCAAAGCGCTGCGGAGTGGCGAAAAGGCTGAAAACTGTTCTTAAGTTCTCAAACAGGTTCTGCTGACAGCCGCTGATGCAAGTGCAGCACAATAGCCAAGGAGTTCGAGCAGTTGATGAGTACAACAGTTGTCGACGTCTCTCTGCCGACATCAATGGTCAATGGGGAACAAGGAGAATTGGCTCAGCGTACGGACCTTTTTCTTTTTGTCTTCTGTCTGCCCCGATCCAGTGTTTGCCTGAAGAAGAAGAGCGAAAAACGATGATAAGATTTGTGCAGGAAAGACAGCCACTGGACAAAAGCTTGTACGAAATCCGAATTGGCAAAGCAATTACTGGGTCTGGGGTGGGAAGCGGGGCACAAAAGTGGGAAAACCCTTACCTTCTTGGGCTTGGCTGCGACGGGTGGGGTGGAATGGAAGCCCTGCTTTCGCACACCGGCTGATGCCTCGCAAACTGGAGCATACGAAAACATGCAACTAGATGCTCTACGCAGCCACAATTGGGACGCCTGCATGTCCTCTCCGGATGCAGTTGAGAACAAGAGCGCCCCTCGCCCTGCAGCTGGGCGCCTGCACCTGCGACCATTGTCCATTGCTGGTGCAGCATCAGTGCATCGTTCTGCCACCTCTTCCGTTTCAACCAGGCCGTTCCGGACCATGTTGGCTGGACTGCAAAGATCCGGCACAGCAGCATCGGGGCAGGCCTCACGCACAAACCACAGCCCAGGTCTACAAGAGCGGCTCAGAGTGGCGGCGCCCGCTTGGCTCCCGGTGCACAGCGCAGCCCACCAGCCACGGCCCACCATAATCAACAGGTACAAATGATCGCCTCAATGCCAGCCGGCTGCATGAGCCACCACTATAACTTGCGGTGCGCAAACCTGACCAAGGGGAGAGACGGGTGCACAGCCAACCATTGAACGCATGAGCCTGATGTCAATGAGGAATCCGCAGCATTGCACCACATTGCACAGTCCTAGGATCATTCAGCAGGGCCCCGCGGGCTCGTCGACGTCGGAAGGCGCCGTTGCGGCCGCCCGCGCCTCGACCATCTAGGAATCAGGATACTGAGCGCAGACTCACTCACCGGACGGCTCAATTTTCTTTGGTAATGGTTGAAAACGCGCGCCGTGCCTAGATAGCAACTCGTCAGACTGAGCGGTGCGGTCCGATCACTGCGCAGTGCGGTGCCAGCCTTGCTCCAACCGAAACCGTCCGATCAAAACAGCATTTGCAACTTGCCGTCGATGGGCCTGGTTTTGACAGTCGAACTCGCCGAGTTTCACGGAATTCCTAGCCCCGCTGGCAAGTTGCGCCAGGTGGGTCGTGCTCACATCGCAAAATCTGGACACACGCGAGATCGCAATCTGATCAATCATCAAACCGTTCTCACCTTCCTCCCACTTTGCCATGGTGCTTCCAGAATCTGCCAATGCTTGGGCCATGGCTTCCTCACCATCCTAGGGTACCTAATCTTACAATTGCAAAGCTTTGCGTGAGCCCTACGGTACCTGCTGTAATTGAGCTTGAGCCTTGAGGTGCTGTAGAATCACAGTCAGCTTGTCCGAACACCGCAAGTGCGGTCCAAGTGTGTTGAGATTTGTGCCGTGTTAAAACAGGCTGTCTCAAGCCCTGGGGAGCAATGTTAGCTGCCAGATCCTGTGTGTAGTGAGGATGCCAATGGTGAAGAAGAGGCGCAGAGCACTTTGGTGCAGCCCCAGGCTGCCCAACTGCCGACACATGATCATGATGAGTACGGTGTAATCCTGGGGGAATTGTACCAGGTGAGCTCCCATGAGCAGCATCACGACTACGCTGAGTTTGGTTGACCTGAATTGCATGGGTCCATTGGGCAAAAGGCAAGACCTGAATGGCATTCTGAGGGCGTCAGCTGGGAGGGGCTAAGAAGTGCTTTGCAATGCCTGCATGAGGTCAAGTGCGAGGGTGCAAACCACTGACACTGCCTAAGAGTGCTTGATGGATTATCTACTTGGCTCTCTCTTTTGCCTGGTGATTCTTGCCTGCATTTGGTCAAGAGGAGGTGTATGGCTAAGCACATTCGAGCAAAAATAGATTTGCTCGACTTCACGGGATCTCGCTCTGCAGTGCAATTCCCCTTGTGAATCCAACACGATGCCTGACGGTGCCTAATTCAAAGCCCCAAAGTTAGTCTAGTCAGCCGGCATTTGTGTGGTGCTCAAAATTGCAACAGCCGTGTTCTTAGCCATCCAATATACTGAGACTGCGCGGTTTGGGAAACTCTTTGCAGGCAAGTGCTTGAGGACTAGGCTGCTGCGACCTACATACATGTCCTCACTTCCGTTTGCAAAGCACTTGATTGGAGCGGACGGATTACCGGCAGTCGTTAGCTGCAGTGCTGCGGCCCTGGCTGGTGAATGCCACCTTGTTTTCTGGCGCGCTGGGTTGGAGGTCCAACAGTCGAGTCAGTAAAGTGCCCCTCCCTTGCAATTTTGGAGATCTGGTCTTGAAAGGGTTGCCCTAGGCCCAAAGGGGCAGTTTGCCCCCTGCGCCGCGGTGGCATGGGCAACAGCCTGACCTCCCGCAGCAGCGGGGAGCCCCACCGCCTGGAGGCCAGCATCTTCCGCAAGGGCGAGCACTCGCGGCGCGGCGTCAAAGTGGGGGGGCTCAAAGTGAGTGTCCAGGAGGCCCCCGAGTACCCGGACGAGCCGGAGCTTGAGAACGACCTCAATGTCAGCTTTGGCTACCACTGCCGCACCTACTCGGATGCCGATGGGGGGGCGCTCTCCAAGAGCTTTGGCGAATCGTCCAGTTCGGCGCTGGGCGGCAGCACGCCCGACTCGTTCAAGGACATGTCGCCCCTGGGTGTGGCGCCCTACCCCGGCGCGGGGGACGGGTGGAAGCGCAGCCGCAAGCACGGGTCGTTCTCGTCGCTGGCAGGCGCCGCGCTGGGGGCCAACACGACGCTGGGCAACACAACGCTGGCTCACGGCAGCGTCCCCAACCTGGACTCCCCGCGCACCTTCCGCAAGCTGGGCTCCGGCGCGCTCTCCGTCTCCAGCTTTGCCACCAGCACCCACTCCAGCAGCTCGTCATCGGGCTCCGGCCCCTTTGCTTTCAAAACTGCGTCCTCTCCCAGCCCCCCCCTGCCCTCCATCCTGGACGATGCGGGGTGGCCGCGCGGCGGGGGCGGGCCGCACAGCTCGAGCGCCCCCAGCCTGGCCAAGCACGCCAGCTTCTTGCATGCCAGCGACCTCCAGATGGCGGGCGGCTGCGCGGGGGAGGACCGCGTGATGGCCGTGTGCAGCGAGGAGAACGGGTGGCTCTTCTGCGGGGTGTATGACGGCTTCAACGGCAGGGACGCCGCAGACTACCTGGCAGCCAACCTGTGAGTGCCAAGGGAAAAAGGGAGGCGGAGGGAAGGGGGGAAAAGCGAAGCGAAGGGGGGAGAGCGGATGAGTGCATTCATATGCACCACGTATGGCACCCGATGATGTGGTGACGTGCAATGTGGTGCTGCTCCACGTACTTTCTTCTTCAGACGCGGAGTGCCAGGCGCTTTTGTCAACCGCCCAACACCCCTGGTGCATTGTGGGCATTTAGCACGGCGTAGGTTCCCCTTGAAGTGCTGATGCAGCTTGTTTGCAGCAGCTCCTTGCTAGGAACTCTGGTGATGATAGCGGAGGCGGGCTGGCATGCATGCACCCTGGTTGCTAAGGTTGCTCACCCCTTGTTGCTGGTGTGCAGGTATGAGAACATCTGCATGCAGCTGCGCCTGCTGGAGTGGCGGCTGCAGCACGACCAAGGGGGGGCCGAGGCCCCGCTGGTTGGGGGCCGCATCTGGCAGCACACGTGCTCCCACGCCGGCTCCCGGGGGGGCGCGGACGAGGGGGACGCCGACACTGCCGATGTGCTTGCAAGTGTTGACATAAATGTGACGGGGCTGGAGCTAGAAAGCAAGGCAGGCAAGAAGGCTGGCCGGGAGGGCGGGGTCAGCATACCCCCCGCAAGCAGCACGTACGGGCGCTGCGCCACGGCCCCTAAAGCAATCGGGGGCCTGCCACGCATTGCTGAGGGGAAGCGGCGCTCCGTGTCCCCCTGGAACGGCGGTCGGCCCGGTACCAGCCTGGCGCGCAGCCTCAGCGACGTGGCCTTTCCACGCTCGCCCAAACGCGCGGCAGCGCCCACCCGCTGTGAGGCGTGTGTGGCCGCGGAGACTCTGCGGGCACAGGGAGGGCCCGACGGGGCAGCAGCGAGCAGCAGGGGGAAGGGGGGGCTGGGGGCGGGGCAGGTGTGAGCGAGGAGGCGTTCCGGGGGGGGGTGGTGCGCGGACTGGTGAAAGCACTGGCGGCGACGGAATCGGACTTCATGGACACGGTGGAGCTGGAGATGGACGAGCGGCCGGACCTGGTGATGGTGGGCAGCTGCGTGCTGGCGTGCCTGATGCACGGGCAGCACCTGTACGCGCTCAACCTGGGGGACAGCCGCGCCGTGCTCGCCACGCGGGGGGGCGGCAGCGGGGTGGGCTGCTGCGACGAGGGGTGCTGCGCGGTGCAGCTGACGCAGGACCACAAGGTGGCTGACGTCGACGAGCGCGACCGGCTGCTCGGGGAGCACCCCGATGACGACACCACCATCTGGAACGGGCGAGTCAAGGGCAAGCTCGCCGTCACGCGCGCCTTTGGGGCCGGCTACCTTAAAAAGGTGCGCAAACGGAGGACCTTTGGCCGACTCTGCGGCCTTGCTTTCGATTGAGGCTGGTATGGGGACGGGGCGTCAATGTCGTAGGCCTCTGCATTCGCTGGATTCCAATGGTCAACCGATTCCCATCCAGGTGTATTTTCAATTTGACATGGAGGACGAACGGAGGGCCAGAACGAGCGTTCTGGTGTGCCAGGGCCCTATCGCCAGCATGCAGCACGGCCGCTTGCTGGCCACCCCTTCTGCGGCGCTGACTGTGCGTGCCCAATTGTGCTTTGCTGCAGAAGAAGATGAACGACGCGCTGATGGGCATCCTGCGCGTGTCGGATCTGGAGAGCCCGCCGTACATCAGCACGCAGCCGTGGGTGCACGTGCATGCGGTGACGCCCGCGGACCGCTTCGTGCTGCTCTCCAGCGACGGCCTCAACGACTTTTACACCAACCAGGAGGCCGTGCACGAGGTCTGCCGCTTCACCGCGGCGCACCCCGACGCCGACCCCGCCAAACACCTCCTCGAACAGCTCCTGGCCAGGGCCGCCGACAAAGCAGGTGAGGGCGGCCGCAGGCGCCTAAATTTCTCGGGTTGAGATGATTAGAGTGTCGGCCAAGGATTACACCACCATAGCAACAAGGATCGAACTTGAAAGTGAGGTGTCGGTTGACGATCAGACAGGATTCGGTCTGGTTCTTGCGCGGATGTGAGTTCTTCGCCCTCTGCCAGCGTGTGCTTGCAGGGCGGACACGGACGAGGGCTGTCTTCGTAGAATCTGACGTTGAGCGTGCTCCTGTTGCGTGTGATTGGCAGGCCTGACGGTGGAGCAGCTGAAGAACGTGCCCAGTGGGCGGCGGCGTAAGTATCATGACGACATCACGATCGTCATCATCATGTTGCAGCCGGGGAACATGAAGACGTCGTCCGCATCGACGTTAAACGGCCATGTATGATACAGGCGCAGCAGAGATCAAGAGGGCGCAAACATGCCTCTCGATGCTGAGGAAACGCAATTTTGATCCTGAGGGGACCAAAGCAGAAACCGGCGAGGCAAAAAGAAGGTGCATACTCGATGAGCAAGGTTTATCTTGCTCAACAGGAACAGGCTGGCTATTTAGATCCGTCTATGCCAGATTAGTAGGCTTTGCTCTATATTGCTCTTTACTATGTAACTTACGGTACAAGGATAGACATAGGCATTCGGTAATTTTTCCAGCTCAAGCCGTTCGACCATCCAGATTGAGGGATGGGCCGGCCACGTTGATGGACACGCATCCATTCAAACTTCGGGTCTCGAACGTTGTGTGACTCTCGAGCGCATAAGGTTTTTTCACTCCGCATGCAAGCATCGCTAAGTGGATTGCACACTAACAACCAGGCCGCCTACTGGACGGTGGAAGCTTTGAGGACCAGACCCCCGGCCAAAAGCTTTGCAATTCTGGTGTGGGTGATAAGGTTTTGACAGTTTATAGATACACAACACGGTATGTGTGACTGGCACCGCACATGCCAGCATGTTAAGGGATGAGGAATGCTCAGACCTTGTACTTAAAGCAAGCCGCTTGCGTCTTGAAGTTCAGTGGTCAATATGATCGTATGAATTGTTCAAACACATATATTGTAGTAAACCGGCTCGCCATTAGGAGGCTATAGCCATCAGCCACCGCGCACTGCAATGCTGTGGATTGTAATATCATTCAATTAGTAACGGTAACTGAAGATCAATGTTGGTTGGCCGGAGCTCGAGGGGCGGCCCGCGCAGCCTGGCAGGGGGCGGCCCTAGAATCATGGTACGGTACAGACCGAATTCGCGACATTGCTGGCACTCTTAGTAAACCATTTTCTGGCCGGGCGCCGCCGAGTCGTACACTTCGTTTACAACGATCCCTGGCTAGACGGCCCGGGCCGGCCCGGCCGCGCTCAAATTTGCATGCATGATCTGCATCATTATCAGTTAGCGCGCTTTTGCAAGTTGATCTAGCTATAGTTGCGGGCCGGCCAGTTAGTACGTGCATCGAGATCGTAGTGTAGGCTATACGTACGTTGGTATACGAGAATAAATTAATTACTCGCCACGTGCACTGGATTGTATATACCCCGGGACGTACCGTCTATATATATACAGGCCGGCGCTTTCTGGGGCCATGCATGGATCATCATTGGTGCGGCGGCAGCGATCGTCGAACATTGCACTGCAGCCCTCTATACGTACATGCGTGGTGATTTGAGCCTGCCGATCAATTACGCAGTGCTGTGATGTCTTTAAACCTTAGCTAGCATGGCGGCAGGCGCTTTCAATCACTTCGACATGTATACGATTTTACAATTTTAGCCGTTAACTTAGCATTCATTGCAACCCAAAATTCACGTATACAAACGTGCGTAACCTTTAAGCGTTTGCATTCCATGATTGCGGCGGGCCTTGTGCTGGCATGTGCACCATTGCCTGACATGTACTATACGGTGGCGGCCATGGGCCACATGTAAAGTTCTCACACAGGGTTTCGATCTTTCAATCAAGGGCGAATGTGTACGGTCGACTGCTCAATGACTCATGGCCAATAAGTTGAGAAAAATAGTCAAGTTTGAAGTTGACAACAACATGATTGTACAGGTTGCGAGGAGCCAAACGCATGATCGCTCGCGCTTCCGAGATTCGGTTGGTACTGAGGCTACTGCTTGAGGGGTGCCTTTTTGACCCGGTCCGATATTCGGACAGGTCCCTCCACGTGCGATTTAAACCGTCCTCGCCCTTCTTCTGTTTGATCCTGCACAAGAGACGACAGGTCCGCGTGAGGGGCGCACAATCTGGACCCACGCAATTGTACAACCAGTGTGTCGAAGAACAACCCGGACGTGCGCCATGCCAAATTGTAGATCAACAGATGGCAGAGCCTGGCTGCTTGAAGCTTGTGACGGCAGCTGAATGCTGGGGAGTAACGTGCACTGCGGCGCGCGCGCGGCACGCACCTTCCGTTTGACGATCTGCACGACGTCCTCGTCCTCGAGCTCGTGCTGCAGGCCGCAGCGCTGCGGGAAGTGCTTGGCGCTGGTGCCCCACACGAGGCCGTACTTGAAGTCCTTGGCCAGGCTGCGGTGCAGCTGCCCGCAAAAGTCCTCCACCGAGCAACCGCCGCGGTCCTGCGCGCACCACACGCACCCCACGCTCAGAGCTCCGCCAGCAGCGGCGCCGCGATGCCGGGCGGCGCACCCACGGCGAAGACGGAGGGGAAGACAAAGGCGACGACAGAGGGGCGCGTGCATTCAGCAAGCTTTTGAGATGGACATGAACGCAGCGCGTGACTGCCCAAGACCTGGATAATAGGATGAAGATCTGAACGAACAACTAGGTAGGAAGCAGTGGGCTACTCAATACAATTACAACGGCGAGAAGCAATAGCAATGTCGCAGACAAGTCCACTGCTAATGAGAGGGGGCGGGGAGTGCGGGCTGACGTGCGACATGACGATGGGCTCCGAGAAGTCGGGGTGCTGCCCCTGCGGCTTGGTGAAGACGCGCACGAGGCCCATGGTGGCCCACATGGCCGCCAGCAGCCGGTCCAGGTTCAGCTGCGGACACAGAGGGACAGCGCGGATCAACGGGGTGAGGACGGGACACGGCGGACGCAAGTCAGGCGGGGACAAGGGAACAGGCCAGGGAGACCTCCGAAGAACAGAGGCGTCAAGGAGCGGGGCGCAGGACTTAGTCAACGACAGTAACAGTGACACCAGAATCGACAAGGCTGCCCCGCGTAAGCGCAAAGCAGGAAGAGCGATCACAGGGCTCTACAGGAGTGCCGGCCATGCCACGTTGTTTCATCGCTCGGCTGGCAGCCGGAGTGCGAGCTGGGTACGTGGCGGCGGCGCGGGGCCTCACTTGCATGGAGCAGGAGATGACGACGGAGTTGGGCAGGCGCGAGAGGCGGTCCACGTCGTCCATGCCCATGACGTCGATCTTGTTGTACACGTACAGGCACTTGATGTATTTGCGGTTGCCCTCGATGACGTCGATCAGCTGGTCCACCGTGGCGTCCTCGCGGAACAGCACCTGCGCACGACGGCAGGCTATGCTGGAATGTCCGACGCACTTGTCAAACTTTGGCAATGGCAAGGTCACCATCAAGCAGTCTGCACATAGGGGCTGACGGGTCGGCAGCGACATCGGTGCAGAGACGTTTCCAGTGAGAATGGCTTGAGATAGTCCGCAAGACAAGGAGATGGAGTACTGGGACGTAGACCCCAGGTGGGCAGGGCGGCACCTCGGCGTTGTGGATCTTGTACTCGTGCAGGATCTGGTAGCACAGCTTCTCGTCGATGTGCGTCAGCGGGGCCGTGCTGTTGAACGAGATGCCCCCCGTCTTCTTCCGCTTGAAGTAGATCTGCACCGCAGCGCATCCCGTCAGTCTCAACAGCACGGTAGCACCCACAGCCCGAGCAGGTCTTCGGAGAAAGGGCCGGGCAAAACTTCAGACCTCGGATTGGCCCATGCCTTTTCTTTTCTACCCAGTAAAAGGGCACACCTGTTGCCTTCCATCACGGAGATAATCGGTCCCAGCACTCTCGGGCTGTGCCTCACCTGCGGCGGTCGTTGGTTCAGGCGGAGCCCCACGGCCTCCAGCTCTGCAGTCAGAATCTCTTTGTGCCGGTCGTTCTGCAGAGGAGGAGGAAGGCGTCAAAGAAACATGAGACCAAAAGTGTTTCATCTTCAAATGCCCCACGCAATCCTCGAATGCATGCGGAACCCAAAGCTCTTTCGGTTTTATTGTGAGTAATGTTTTCGTCGGTTTGTATAAGAAGAGCCGCTGAAGACAGTGTAGGGCGTCAGCCGAATACATTCGAGCTCATTGAGAACCATACTTTTAAGAAAGAGCCTAGAAAGTCTTGATCTGGCTGCCAGGTTCAGTTGCGGTGTGTCAAGGAGCCGCGCTGACCTTGGATGCGTCCAGCACCATGAGGACGAGGTCGGAGGACTTGGCGACGGCGATGACCTGGCGCCCGCGGCCCTTGCCCTGCGCGGCGCCCTCAATGATTCCAGGCAGATCGAGCAGCTGGATCTTGGCGTCGTTGTAGTGGATGATCCCCGGGATGCACGTCAGCGTGGTGAACTCGTACGCGGCAGCCTCGCTCTTGGTGCCCGTCAGCTGCGTCAGCAAGGTGGACTTGCCCACGCTGCACGAGGAGGGGGCACGCATATGAGCAGGGGGTGGGCAGACCGCTGGGGTCCGATGAGAGTGGGCTCAGATATGGGGACGAATTGGCAGAAGCATAAAGACAGATGCAGGAAGCCGCTCTCTCAAGAGTTACGCGCTGCATACTTGACGACGCCCCGAGGTGGATGAATGACCAGCCTTGTCTAAGCTGATGAAGCCCAATAAGCTAGACAGCCCCTGTCCCACGGAGATGTAGGATGGAGGCATCGGCTATTGTCAGCTCACAATGGTCTCAATTCGAAGAGGACGGACGTACCTGGGGAAGCCAATAAGCGCCACTCTGGCATGCCCATACTTGGTCACCTCAAACCCATCCCCCTGTCCGCTGGCACCCTACAGACACAAGAGAAAGAGGCTTTTAAGGGGGCGGCTGATGCACGAGAGTCACGAGAAGCGTGAGGGGTCTCGAACCACCATGCGACCTGGGGGGTGGACTGCTCCGGCACCCCCTTCTCGTAAGTGTCCCTGAGGCTGCCTTCTCCACAGCACTTATATCTCAAACTCGTCCACTCGCACACGGTCTTGAGCAGACGCGGTACTCAAAAACGCTTCCATGCAGCGCACGTGAGGGAAACTGTGCCACACCAAAATGCTTCGAACGGACGACATTATATTTTTTTGATCACACAAGTGGCATTTGCCAGCCCGGCCAACATATGTGGTGGCAGCTGGGCCACAAATGCATTGGATGGGCGTGGGGGGTGGTCGCGGCGGCTCACCTTGGCCGGCTCCAGCAGCGTGGTGCGCAGCTTGGCCAGCTTGGCTTTGAGCTGCCCCAGATGGTACTCTGCACACACACACCACCGCACCAAAGCCTAAGCGGCCCCGTTCGGCACACCACCCATTCTCGCCACTGTGGACGCATTTCGGGAACTTCATAGATTGGCATAGACGGAAAGCATGTCGCCAGGCGCAAGCGATCTTTGTTGTGGCCCATCAACAGCACTACCAGCAGCGGGACAACGAAGCAGAAAAGCCAGCAGATGCACAAAATGCTCAGAAAGACATGTCTAAGTCGTGTCGGGGCCTCACCTGTGGCCTTGTTCTTCTGCGTGCGAGCCATCTCCGCCTCAATCTCCTTGATGCGTTCAATGACCCCCATCTTGAGGCGCTTCGCTGCAACCCCTCTGAAAAAGTGATGATGTCAATTGCAAGCAATGAGGCAGTCGGGCGCCAATCAAGCCTAATACGCCTCAAACCTTACTAAGTGCCGTGCAACCTGTTTTGCAAGGTGAGATTGTGCCACCATTTTCTAACCTTCAGGTCCTTCCACGACAAAGTACAAACTCAAATTCAATGATCTGCAGATTTTTGTGGGCAGCTGGGCAAAATTCTGCTGTGTTGCAATTTGTAAGGCTTTCAAGTTTCGAGCTAGGTGTCTAGGGTTTTGGCGCTTCTCCGAACCCCAGGAAATCTACAAACCCTAAAACTCTTAGTATGTAGACCCTAATATATATGAACAGTGTTCGTGGCGAAACCTAATTGATTTCGCCAATTAGGTTTGCGCATTAGGTCCTAGTTTGCGCATATTCGCGCAAACGGAGGAGTTTGCGCAGGCTGGCGAAATTAAGCGCGGCCGCGCGGCCGCGCGTAGGCGCGCAGGCGCAAAACGCCTGTGTCAATGACATTTTGGGCCCAGGTAGCAGTTACTCTTGACCCTGAATGAACAGTGTTCGCTGGAGGCAGCTGATAGTTCGGTTAAGTGTCAGACCAATACTCTTTTTGGCACCAAGTCATAAGCTGAGGTGCCCGAAATCCCCCCGAAATAGCATCATAAGCATACACTGACGCAAAACCAACACTGACAGATAATTTCGCCAATTTCGCCAATTAGGGTGAATTTGCGCTTCAGCAATTACCTAGTGTTTGCGCATTTCCAAAACCAATTTCGCCACGATCACTGATAATATGAACCCTATAAACTCAAACCCTCAACCTCAAACCCCCCAAACCCTAATACCTACTATCCCGCCGTCAGCTTGACGTCAGCGCCAGCTTGCTTCCTGCCAACATTCGAACATTCTTGCCAAATCCCGAGGCCATCATGCTAATGCCAATGGTGACCAGTGCGCGCGTTGATGGTCAAAGTGGCCGCGAGGTTCCCCTCAAGGGATGCATAGTACAAAACAATCAGCATCACAGAGAGGGCGGAGGCCTCGATCTTTTGTTGAGTAGAATCGACATGCTGAGTGTCTGAAGAGAGTTGCAATGGGCTGTACATAAGGCTGGGATTCGCAGCACGTCGCAGCTGAGGGGAGGAGCGAGGAGCATTAGGAAAGGGCGGGTGCCCGCCAGCAGAAGGGAGCTGGACCAGCACAGCCTGCATCAAGCCAAGGCAAGGGCGCGTTGCTCAAAGGTAGTTCTCAGCTGGAGCTTGTCTTACTCAAATGGTCGTAGGGCTGGCATAGACTGCCAACGGGCCCTGCATTCTTGTTCAAGAGTTGCCCTTTTTAAAGTGTTGAGCTGGCGTGTCCATGGAAGATCCGTCCTGGGTGCGTGCCCTGATAGCGACTAAGTACTGTATGCCAAATTGCCCAATGCCAGAGTGCCCTAAGACTAGTGGGCCTAGTGCGTGTTCTTGCTTGGCTGGCTCTCTAGCTGAGGAATTATGCCCCCGGGCCCCAACACCTCAATCATTCTCGATTACGTTTCTTGCGCAACTGAAGCCAGGAAAGGATTGGACAATAGCAGCGGGGTTGCTCTCTTTCTGCAGTTAGTCTCTATAGATCAGAGTGCATAGAGCGTCACTTTGACCTTCCCCACAGGGAGTCTGCTGCCATGGCTCCCCCAGCGGAGGTGCCCACCGTAGAGCTGACCGACATGGCCTCCCCTGCCAAGGCGGAGGGGGCTGGGGACTCTGCTGGCCCCCCCGGGGGCGTGGACGCCAGCTGGCGGGTGGTGGTGATTGGGGATGCGGAGGCGAGCAGTGCGGAGGCACGGTATGCGGGCAACAAGGTGCGCACCAGCAAGTACACGCTGCTCACGTTCCTGCCGCGCAACCTGTGGGAGCAGTTCCACCGCGTCGCCTACATCTACTTCGCAATCATCATGGTGAGCACCCTGTGCTGCGGCAAGGAAGTCACGGTGGAGTGGGCATTCTCCAGAATCCCTTGCCTGGCGTGTTTGCGAGTTTCCTCATCGGAAGATCCTGGTAGGAGGAGGAGACGGCCCTGCCCCCACCCCCCAGAAGTGAGCAGTGGGCCAGGGCTTGGAGGTTACATGAGCCAGACATTGAGAACCTTAACGTTGTACTGCTTCCCCGCTCCCTAACACCCCCTCCACCTCTATGCGAATAGCTGGGGGAGCCCTGGCACGTCTTACCTGCAAAGAATGAGTGCCACATTTGCCACTCTGGCCCCCCCGCTGCCTGGAACCCAGCCTTGCCCGCCCTCTGCCTGTGGCTGCAGATCTTGAACCAGATCCCAGTGCTGGCCGTGTTTGGGCGCACCGCCAGCCTGTTCCCGCTGCTCTTCGTGCTCATTGTGACGGCCATCAAGGATGGCTACGAGGACTGGGGACGCCGCCGCAGTGACCGCAAGGTCAACGCCGCCCCCTGCTTTCGCCTCACCCCCGGTGGGTGGGCGCCCTGTGCGTGGCGGGAGCTGCGCGTGGGGGACGTGGTGCGCCTCACGGCAGACGAGGTGGTCCCCGCGGATCTGGTACTGCTGGCGACAGCGGGGGACAGCGGGACGGCCTACACCGAGACCATGAACCTGGACGGGGAAACCAATCTAAAGAGCCGCCACGCGCGCCTGGAGACGCAGCGCGCGGGAGAGGGCGTGGCCGGGCGCGTGGTGTGCGAGCCGCCGAACCGCAACATCTACGAGTTCACGGCGTACCTGGACCTGGGGGCCGGGCGGGTCCCGCTGAGCGCGGGCAACATGCTGCTGCGCGGGTGCGTGCTGCGCAACACGGAGTGGGCGGTGGGGGTGGTCGCGTACGCGGGGCCGGACACCAAGGCCATGCTCAACAACAGCGGCGCGCAGTCCAAGCGCAGCCGCCTGGAGAAGCAGATGAACCGCGAGACGCTCGTGCTGGCCGGCATCCTGGGGGGGCTGTGCGCAGTGGGGGCCATCGGGATGGGCGTGTGGCTGAACCAGCACGACACGCGGCGGGTGCCCTGGTACGGGCGGGGGGGCGAGTACCACGGGCGCGCGGGCGAGGCGCTGCTCAACTTCTTCAGCTTGATCATTTTGCTGCAGATCCTGGTGCCCATCAGCCTGTACATCAGCCTGGAGCTGGTGCGCCTCTTCCAGGCGCTGCTGATGCAGTGCGACCTGCACCTCTACTACGCGCCCGCGGACGAGCGCCTCAAGTGCCGCGCACTCAACATCAACGAGGACCTCGGCCAGATCCGGTACGTCTTCAGCGACAAGACGGGCACGCTCACGCAGAATCGCATGGTCTTCCACGCCGCGTCCATCGCAGGGGTCGACTACAGCCATGCCACGCGCGTCGAGGCTGCCCCCCTCGTGCCCGCCAGTGCCGCGCCCAAGGACGCCCTGGCCCCCGAGATCAAGGCAGGTGAGGGGGTGGAGAGCCGTCGGCCGATCTCATGCGCCAAACTCGTCCTCCTGGCCTCTATGTCAAGGAACCTGATGGAACTCGACGTTCGACACGTGTGCAAAGCCGCAGATTTGGGTCTCGATCATTACTCGTCCTAAAGTCCCAGGTGTCGGGACAGTCCGGTATGTCATGTCGAAGCAAGTGACGACTCAGCGCCTTCTCTCTAACGCTGCCCCTGTTTCTCCGCATCCTGCACAGCTGTCTCCAGCCTTGGCCCCGCAACGCCCCCCCCTCCCACGGCGTGGCAGCCCGCGAGCGGCGCCATGGTGGACGCGCGCCTCCTGGCGGCCCTGGCGGACCCCCACCAGGGCCACGCCGTGCGCGACTTCCTGATCGTGCTGGCCGCCTGCAACACTGTCGTCCCCACCACCGTCAAGCGCACCCCCGAAACTCCACCCAGTGCCGGCACTCCCGCAACCCGGCAGGGGTCGTTTGCGCGGCGAGCGTTTGAGTCGCCGCAGGTGTCGAGCCTGGGGCGGGGGGGCGCGCCTGCGGTGCAGCTGGAGTACCAGGCGGAGTCGCCGGACGAGCTGGCCTTCGTGGCCGCCGCCGCAGCGTACGGGTACACGCTGCTCGAAAGGACGTCCGAGGCGATCGTCATCGATGCGCAGGGCACGCGCGAAAAGTGAGCCAGCCGGCCTTTCTTTGTAGCAACGGAGCTTGAGGGGTTCTGGCAAACCTGGCGCTTGAATTTCGTGGCAAGAAACATTCGTCGTATATTGATCCGAAGAAGGGGCTGTCTTTCAGGGCAGTGGCGAAGTGCTCTTGCTCCAATTGCAGACTTTGGAAGATTGGTCCTGTTTGACCTCAATGGTGTTCGGCAACGACGTTCGTGCTTTCTCGTACCGCCCCCATACTCAAATTGCAAATTTGATCTGGAATAAATGACGCAAAGGAAGCTCTTTGCGCAGTCCTTATGCATGTTGGCCAGGCGCTGCTTTCTCGCTTTCTTGCTTTCTTGCGCGCATGAATCTCAACGCTGCACTTCATGCTGTTGTTCACCTGACAGGCTCGGGACTGCCTGCACGAGAGCCCGCCTTGTTTCCCACGGCCCTTCCGTGGCCCTCCCTCCGTCGCCTCTGACGCTCCCACGCGTTGCCCCTCCCCCGTGCAGGTACTCGGTGTTGGGCGTGCACGAGTTCGACTCGTCGCGCAAGCGCATGTCGGTGGTGGTGCGCGCCCCAGACGGCGGCGTGCGCCTGCTGGTCAAGGGCGCCGACTCGGCGATGGTGCCGCTGCTGGGCCAGCTGTACACCAGCAAGGGGCCCGTGCACAGCCGGCGACCCTCCTGGGACGGCAAGCAGGTGCGCGCAGCGGCCAGCCGCCGCTAGAGCAAAGAGAATCTACTTAGAGGCCTCCCTTGCTAATTGCTGCTCTTTGAGAGGAAGGTGCGGACGACATCAAGCTGCTGACATTCTCGAGTCTCTGTCGACACTTACACGCCGACCCGGATTCCCTTAACGTGAACTTCCGTCATGCTGTCTGCGTCCCCGTGTTCTGGACAGGACCATCACAGCTGCGTCCGGAAGCCAACTTTTCGTGTTGCAGTTGCCTCTTCCTCCTTCTGGCGGCCACCGGCGGCGGTCCAGCCGCGAGGGCGACATTGCGTCGTCGTTGCTGACGGCCACGCAGGCGCACCTGGACCAGTACGCGCGTGAGGGCCTGCGCACCCTCGTGCTCGCGCACCGCGCTATGCCGCCCGAGGAAGTCGCCGCCTGGGCCGACAAGTACCGCGCCGCCGCGACCGCCATGGTGGGGCGGGCGGCCGCGCTGGCGGCGCTGGCGGCGGAGACGGAGACGGGACTGACGCTGCTGGGGGCGACGGGCATCGAGGACAAGCTGCAGGACGGCGTCCCCGCCACGATCGCGCTACTGCGGCGCGCGGGGCTCAAGGTGTGGGTGCTCACGGGCGACAAGCAGGAGACGGCCGTCAGCATCGCCTTCAGCTGCCAGCTGCTGACGGACGAGATGACGCCGCTCGTCATCTGCGACGCCGCCTCCAAGGATGCCTGCGCTGCTGCGCTCGCCAGCGCCACCGCGCAGTATCTCGGGGGGAGCGGTGGAGGCGTGGCCAAAGGAGCGCGGGCACGGCGGAAAAGCGGCGACGGGGGGGGCCAGTACCGGGCGGTGGAGGGAGACCGCGTGGCGCGGCTGCAGCAGTCGAGCAGCAGCAGCGGGGCAGGAGTGAGCGCCAGCGAGCGCGTGCAGCGGTGGGGCGGCGCGGGCGGGGCAACCAACGGAGAGGCGGAGGCGGCGGGGCCGAGCCCGCGACAGCTGGCGCTGGTGATTGACGGGCAGTCGCTGCAGTACGCTCTCAGCGAGGAGCTGGAAGACCAGGTGGGGCACGCAGAGCAGCGAGAGGGCAGGGTGACCACGATGCACAGGGGGATAAGCAAGGCTGATGGCGGAGCTTGATAGGAGCCTAGGGTGTGCAAAGGACACAGGTGCCAAGCGGCGCCTCCGAAGTCAATCTTCTTATTTGGTTTTCACTAGCAAGCCAGTAAAGATCGAATGGACATGCTGTGTAGTTCCCTGCCTTTCGCTGACGGCCCTTCTTTCTGGTGCAGCTCTTTGCCATCGCCCGCGCGTGCCGGGCGGTGGTGTGTTGTCGGGTTGCCCCGCTGCAGAAGGCGGGGGTGGTGGCGCTCATCAAAAGAAAGGCCAAAGAGATGACCCTCGCCATCGGAGACGGTGAGCACCGCGCGGCCCCGCAGTACCCAGCCGCACGAAGCAGAAACGTTGCGTCTTGGCGCTCTTTTCTCGCTCTCCCACCTCGAAACGACCCGCTCGAGCATCTCCAGGTCGACCTTTTGGGCTACTCTGCAAACACTCCTCGCCTCTCTTTGCGTGTTCTGAAAAGGAAAGGGATTGAAGACAGGGAAAGGCATCGAAAGGCTTTCGGCTCCGGTCGCTGTCCGCTGTGACGCGCCGTGCTGAGCGGGCGTGGTGGCTGTGTGTGCGTGCAGGCGCGAACGACGTGTCGATGATCCAGATGGCGGACATCGGGGTGGGCATCAGCGGGCAGGAGGGGCGGCAGGCCGTCATGGCGTCCGACTTTGCGATCGCGCAATTCCGCTTCCTGGGGCGGCTGCTGCTGGTGCACGGCCACTGGTGCTACCAGCGGCTGGGGTACATGGTGCTGTACAACTTCTATAAGAACGCCATCTTCGTGCTGCTCCTCTTCTGGTTCATCTTCTTCACGCAGTGGAGCAGCATCTCCGCGCTCTCCAGCTGGAACCTCGTCTTCTTCTCGCTGCTCTACACCAGCCTGCCCACCATCGCCGTCGCTTCGCTCGACCAGGACGTCAGCGCCGCCACGCTGCTGCACTACCCGCACCTCTACGCCATCGGCCAGGATGACGTCACCTACAACCGCACCATGTTCTGGGTCACCATGGCGGACACGACATGGCAGTCGCTGGTGCTCTTCTTCGCGCCCTACTTCACGTTCGCGGCCGGCAGCCCCGCCACGCTGTGGGAGGTGGGCAACCTGTGGTGCCTGCTCGTCACGCTGACGGTCACGCTGCACCTGGCCATGGACGTGTACCACTGGACGTACGTGCACCACGCCGTCGTCTGGCTCTCGCTGCTCATCACCGTCGTCACCATGCTCATCCTGGACGCCTTCCCCGCCTCCCAGCAGTACTGGTGAGCCCCCGCGCCTTGCCACAGCTGACCCCTCATGGCTGCAGTCGTAGACGCACTGCCGAAGAGGTACGCGGATCGAGTACTTTCCTACAGCCAGATGTTAGGCCGCTTTCGGCAGCAGGGGCGTCAGAGGGTTGCGCGGATACGGAGCCGGCCCGGATATTTGTTGATGGGCGACACGAGTGAAATAGTCGCGTCGAGCTCTGTGATTTTGCGAGCGAGGATGGCACGTTCGTGCCTGCACTCTTGCTTGGGGCGTAGCCTGGGCAGGGCGGGGGGGGGTGGAGCGCAGGGCGGCTGAGCGTGGTGCGTGGTGCTTGGTGCGTGCAGGGTGATGTACCACGCGTGGGGGGACGCGCGGTACTGGCTCAACGTGCTGCTGGTGCCCCTCGTGTGCGTGCTGCCGCGCTACCTCGTCAAAGTGGGCCGCCAGTGGTACTTCCCCACCGCTGTGCATGTGGCGCGAGCCAAACAGCTGGCGCACCAAGGAGGGGGGTTCAGCCTCGTGGGGGGGGCGACCCAGCTGGCAGGGACGCCGAGGATGCCGGGGCAGGGAAGCGGGAGTCACGAAGGACGACAAAAGGGAGAGGAGTTGAAAGATGTGGCAGAACTGCATCCAAACGGTGTACCTTGAGGAAACTGCCTCCGGCCCTTTCTTGATCAAGTTTTGTAAATGAACTTCTATATGTGGGATTGCTAAGCGCTTCTTGGCGCCTACCTCCCTAGAATTGGGCTTCGCCTCGTCCGGTCAAAGCAAGAACATAATTTGGTCGAGGCTAGGGTTGACCGCACTTGTCACTAACTATCAAACTCAAAAGTGCGGCCGCCACTGTTATAAAGTGCAGTTTGTGCATCATCATTCATGTTGCCTGGGTGTCCTTACAGAATCAATTGCACGTGCGCGCTGGGGCATGTGCATGGCTGTCGGATGACTCCGGGACTGAGGCGCCTCAGCACTGAGATCGGATGATCAGTATAATTGAATGATAGCTTAGTCGCTCCGAATATCATCTTAAATGATCATTATGTATATGATCATTAATCTAACATACAAGAAATGATGCTTGTTACATGTGCCATGGCCTGAGTCACGTGACCACGTCATGTAATCCACCGATCGTCTGCGAGTTGTACCATACTATAATTCTACTATTACACATGAGACCGATACTATGATCCGAGGTACGTGATACGTACGACGCTTCGATCGATCATATGGCCGATCGCTGGTTGTACTCAAGAGTACATATATACGTGTATATTTAAATTGCGCGCGCATGATTCTAGAGCTGTCGATAGGACTTACGACTATTGAGACTCTCGCGTTTGACTCTGCTCGGAGCGTGAAACCCCTGCCAGTTTCACTCCGATTTCAAATTTTGCCTGCGCCCAAGTTTATGCCATTCGTTACATGACGTGTGTATGTACATGTGTATCGTGTCGGTACCTTTTTCCCCTTCAGTGAAAGATCCCCAAAGCTATGAAGTACGGGGCAGGGGTTTTTTAACGGTCGGCATGGTGCACAGTGTAACATGATACACTGCAATTGCTTCTGCGCCTCTCTGCGGTCTACATCCCTACCAAGATCGGATTGTTGCCCGCTTATTAGTGCGAATCCTAGTTCCAACAGATTGCCCGGAGGCGACAAGTAGCTAGCGGAGTCACGGTTGCTTTGACTAGCACGCCACTGGCAAGTTTAGTTGTAATCCGGTAAGCTGTTGTTAGACTAGGTTCGGTGACTAATTCAGTGTACGCACTTTGATTTGGTTAGGTAGCTAGACGTTCAAGACCCAAACAATTCCCATGTATGCCATGGAAGCCTATGGCCCA